CAGGTACAGCTATCAGCGAATGTTCCAAAACATTGTTCTCGAATGATCTTGCATGATTTTGAGTGGTTTCCGAGAGGTTTTGATTGGAAATACGATTGTTACGTGCCTTCAAAGCAGCTACCGAGCAAATAAAATGCACATTTGCAAATCGATGTTCGTATTTCATGTTTTCATAGAACCCGGAACTCAACGTAATGTTTGTTTTATTATAAATATTTGTTTCAGCTACAGGCAAGATCGATTCTAATCCGCTTTAGATCTGCTGACAAAAAGCTATCTGAACCAGGTCGATACAAAGGTCGTTCACCTAATTTCTTCGCACGGAAATTCTGGATTCTTTCAATATTAAATGCCGACAGATCAGGAAGGCTCGCTTTACATATATAAACAAGAGTAAGTTCCGTGTCGTCTGTTCACTATCGTTTAAACTTAACTCGATAATATTTCTATACTATCTCAAAGGGATGTCATTGGTTTTATGAAAAGCTTTTATGAAGCTGGAGATATTAACGTCGCCGTCCTATACGAAAATTACACAACTTAAAGCATTTTGTCTTTAGCGACAGGGCACGGCACGGGTAATTGAGTTTGTCGGTCGGTCGCATCTTTTGTTCGGATTCTAGCATCGTTAAATTTATGTTTGCCACAAATTTTAGGGTGGTCTATCTAGGGTGGTCCACGGGTATTCCATTCAAGTAGTCCATGGACCAGGTCCATCGGGGGAGTCCATGGACTAGGGGTCAGTAATATACCGACCTCTTTCGAAGGATGATGCAGTCAGAGCACAACGCAGTCAACTTAAGGAGATATGACTCTCTTAGTAGAGTGCAGACAAAAAGCTTTAGTTGACGAAATCATGACCATTGTAAACACATCCACAGAAGCTATGCCTGGTCATTATGTAACTAGTATTTTTTCTGCGAATACTCGGAGTGAAAGCCAATCTTTCCAGTGTTTACACTTAATCAAGGTACATCAAGAGTAAATCTTTAATCTTTAATCAGTATACTTATCAGTTGCTCCATGTAGGAAAAGAGACAGAGAACCACCTAGATTAACACGTGAAGTTTTAAAATCAGTTAAACACAGAAAAGTAAGAGGCAGAATTAAACATTTCTTGAAGAAAAG